GAGATCTGTGTATCTGTATTCTATTTATACCCGTTCACATTTCGTTACAAATTTCGATAAAATTATGGACACATAATGCAAATTTATTACAAAATGTCAAGATTGACTTTTCAATCTCCAGGCGCCAGAGTTTTGCAGAGAAAGTTTATAAGACTGACGGTGGGTACGACTTTTTGCAAAATACCAGGCAATGTTACACGTGAACAAAATTTTGATTGGATGAGCTGATGTTCGTTGCACTTAATGCGAAACATCAGCTCATGTTACGAGGCTTATGTAGAGTGCTTGATAGTTTTCCTGCGAAAAAAATTGCAAAAAATTCGGGTTTTTCTTACTACTTATAATTAAATTCTTGAATAACTTCTTCATTTTTTACCCGATTTTCTTTTAAAAAAATAGTCGCAAAAAAACTTATCATCATGCAAAAAATAAAATATTGTGCTTTTAGTCCTGCTCGCTTCCCCGCAAATAACGAAAAACCGGGAAAAACTATTAAAAACTATTAAAAAAATTACATATGACACACAAATTATCTTGTGTGAATGTTTGGTTTAGATTATTTCATTTAAGTGGACAAAATCTGCGACAAACTAGATCCCAAATCGGCTTTTGCCATTTTCCCAATTGATTCTTCATATGATTCCATCCTAAATTGGCATTCGAACAACCTTTGACGCAAAGATTGTTTGAGAAGGATTATTGAAGCGTTGAAAGGGATAAAATATTTTCAAAAACGTATTAATCCCAGTTTTACAGTAAACGTGCGAAGAAGTTGCAGTTGAATCAAGCTCTGACACTTCATCTCTGTTTTTGTTTGATTATTAAATTTTTGAACAAGTCCATACTAAGTGAAAGTGATTACGGCCATGGAAAATTTACTGAATATCTAAATCATTGAAACAATTTAACCCCGTGCAACAACCATACAAGAAGGTTTTATCAATGAAATTCCTCCATTATTAACAATCAAACACTTGCGAAGGACATAACGTAAAAAAAGATGAAATAAGGGTTAGTAGGTTAGTATACCAACGGAACGCAGGCAGATATTTCTAGACAGGAGCGTGCAGTTATATAATTACACAGTCATAGTTATAGTTTGTAATTTTACTATAGATAGGTCCCGTTGGTAATTTTACTTGAAATATATATTGGTGTTAATTTTACTATAAATAGGTATTGCTAATTTTTTATATAAAATATTATATTTTTTATATAAAAATATATTACTTATATTTTTACTATAAAAATATATTTTTATACTTTCATATTGTTTTTTTGTTTGTTTGTTTGTGACTTCATATTTGTTCATAGATGGGACTCTAAGAGATTCTACTACCTCGGGTCAGGGTGGACCTGGGAACAGCAGCAATTAAGGGGTGGTTCAACGCTTCTGAAAACCTCCAATCTCCTGATCAGAAGTCTTGCTACTGTTAAAGTTTATCGTCCTACCCAGAACTATATTTACTACAAAGAGAATACCTAGAAGGAATACTAATAAATATCTTCCCATCGTAAAAAAAACACGGCAGACACACTTTTTCAGATCACCAACCGTCATAAAACCCATAATTAAAGAATGTAAGATGCAGATACCTGCAGCCAATGTAACCTAAGTCTTCCACTCTAATCCTCTGATGCACTCGAAGTCATATAAAATAACAATAATAATAATATTTATAATAGAATTAAAGCACACATATATCTCCAAATATCCTGACACCCATGAATTTTTCCACAGTGATAGTATTTATGCCAACACTAATAACTTATATTTAGGAAATCATCAACTCGGGTACCGACACAACCAACAATCAACAAACGTACTGACACGAGCAATTCCCGCAAGACCAACTATAAATATTATACACACTCAGACAGGAACGTCTTTCTCCTACTAATATCTTCAGGAATTAAACACACGAACATTAACAAAAAATGCCTACCAGAATAAAGACGGAGGCATGTATACGCGCGCAACACACACATGCACGCACTAACATCACAAAACAAAAAGACGTTGAAGTCTATCTGGCCAATGAAAATCAAACAATACAAAGAGAATTCAAAGTGGAGGGTCACTGTGTGGTGTTGTATGAGTGTGAGAAATGACAAAAGTGAAGTTCACGGGTTTATGAAGGACAGATAACGGCTAAGTCTAGATTTGAAAAGATCAAGATTGTAGTGATTGGGAAAATATCCTGGTGAGAGTCTGCCCCATAATGTAGCGATTTTTGGAAAGAAACTGTCCAAATGGAACTTACTTCTTACTGTAAGAATACGATGGAAATGGGGGTTGTTCACGCTTGTGTATGTGGTATGGTGGATCTCAGATGTAAGTTTGCAGTCGGTCATGCAGGCAGCACCATAACTTGTTATTCTTGAGAAGAAACCCTGCATAATCTCTTATACAAAATCGAAATAAATTATATATATATATATATATATATATATATATATATATATATATATTTTTATATTATATATATAACAACTAAGGATATATATATATATATATATGTATATATATATATATATATATAATTGTTATATATATATATTTGTTATATATATATATATATTTATTATATATATATTTGTTATATATATATATATTTGTTATATATATATATTTGTTATATATATATATATATTTGTTATATATATATATTTGCTATATATATATTATATATATATATTTGTATATATACATATATATATATATATATATATATATATATATATATATATATATATATATATATATATATATATATATATATATATATATAAAATTTATATATATATATATATATATATATATATATATATATAAAAACTAACGAATTTTTAATAAACAATTTTTGTTTCCTTTTCTAGTTTCGTTAAAAGGTTTCTTACTTTCATTATTCACGGGGGATCAATATTTATTTGCCGCAACACCGTTCAAGGCGGTTGACGTCCATTTTGCTTATATTAGTAAAGTAGAAGATACGAAAAACAAATATGACCTCTTTGTTACGAGGGTGGGCTGAAAAGTTCATACGCTGACTATGAACGAGTGATGCTAGATCTGTGAAATCTTGCATGCATTCATTTCAACTCGTTTTTATTAATAACTGCATTGATTCTTTCCGGGTAAACTGATATATGACTTATCAAAAAAAAATACTTCAAATGTAACTAGTAACGCCTTCTCTTGAAAATTGAAAAAAAAAATCGGTCACGTGATGTTATCGAGTACCTGCAGAAAAAAGGGTTTAGGCTTCAACGTTATCAATAGTGCAAAAGTGGTCAACTGAATTTAAGAGAGGGAAGAGTTTTGAAGATGTCCCAAGGTGTGGACTAGATGTCCCAAGGTGTGTAATTTGTTGATGTTATAAAGATTACCATTTCATTTCTAACCTCCGTTTTGGTTATTCCTCATTCAGTAACTTTTTTCTAGGTAACAATACACCTGTAAGATGATGAGATCTTGTTGCCAATCTAATAATATACATAAATTCATGAATCTAAGTACCAAAGGGAATAGTTCCTCAGAACTACTCACTTTGGTGGATTCCGAGATGAAATTCGGTCTCCAATGAATGACAAACGCAGGAATTAAATATAAGAAATAAAATGTATTTACACAATAATACAAAAGGCAATACTGTTAGTAAATCCAGGAACACGGTTAGTAGCAATAACATATAGATATATACAGTCTCGAAGTAGGACTTAGAGTCTACGTGCTTGTAACTGACTTCTACAAACGGTTACCTCACACTATTACTCTACCTCCAACTCAGTCACAGTCTTCACTCACTCTCTCTACTCACTGTATACTGACTGACTCTGGGTATTTAACGGCAGCAGTCCAAGTACACACGGGTCGAGTCCACTTATATGAAAAAGGGGTGGACCCCATAACAATTACCATGACATCTTTTATAAGAAAAGCACGTGGAAGTTACATTACAGTGGTGGGAAAGTGACTGAAGCCGAGCGGCCAGGTCAAGACCAATAATACTGCAGATTTTTCGTTGAATTTTTCAAGACTAGATGTGGCAGAAAATTTCAAAGCATGGTTGAATAATAGAATGGTAGAATTAATAAATTATTTTAACTTGGTACTCCATGGAAAAATACAAACATATAATTATGATGATAGATTTTACGTATAAGTTTAAAGCTAAACATTTTTTTTATGGATTACTCACCTGAGAATGTTGATTTTGCCTCTTTTCAGAAATATAAAGAAAATGATTTTAAACGATCCCAGTTTGATATCAAGCTTCGTTTTATTTTCATGGCCCATTAAATGCGTTATCATTGTGCTAATGATCCCATTTTAATTGAATCCATTTATATGCCATTTGAATATGACATAGCTACAGTCACTTTCCGACTCTTTCAAGTGAAAACAGAGGATGTGAAAGTTTTGAGCTGTGAAATTAAATTATGCTAAAAAAATTTGTAAGAGATGATAACTTTTGGAATTTTTAAAAAGTGAAAGGTTTCCTTTCCTAAAAGTAAAAAAAAAGCAAGCAAACATTAGAAACAGGAAACAAAATGCACTCAGTTTTAATTGCCAAGTTTCCTATGAATCAAAACTCGAATTGGAAAATTTTTTTTCTTTCAAAAGTAAACTGTTACTCTTATAGATAAATCCATATAACGGAAAAGAAGTAGGCAGCCATTTTCTCCATAATGTAGAATATTTTAATGGTAAAACATTTCCAGAAGGGTTTTTTTTTAGCCAGAGGTCATAAGGTAAACGCTTGATATGTCAGATATAAGTGGTTGATATCAATCAATCTCTGCCTCAGTTGTTGGACTAAAACGGCATGTGAAAGTTCGTCAAATGATAGATACATAACACCTACTGCAAGAGTCCATCAACATTGCCGCAGCTGCGTATGGAAATGTAACTCCCTAGCAGTACAAAAATGCCACATCTGCGTCGCCCATATTTGAGAATAAATTATACGATATTATATTAATCTAAATCGCGTCAGATCCAACATCTATCTATCTATCTATCTATCTATCAAAAGGACGCATGATCTCTCCTTGAGTCAGGAATGCAATAAATTATACTAACGCTGATTAACAAGTCAAATACACATGAATCATGCTTAACCACTGAAAATCATACAGCACAAAGTAAAAGTACCATAATTTTTCTTATTCTTTGATGAAACATGTTAGATTGAGAAAAGTGTTCTATCTATCTATCTATCTATCTATCTATCTATCTATCTATCTATCTATCTATCTAATCCCTTAAAAGTGTATTTCTTCTAAGTTGATTAGAGAATCTTTTTAAAAATGTTACTGGAAGACATTCCCCAGATCGTTCAGTTTGTTCTTCCCCTTTATTCATATATATATATATATATATATATATATATATATATATATATATATATATATATATATATATAAACTCGACAACTTCCCCATTATTTCTCCGACAAAAAGTTCTTTCCACCCGACTTATTTGCCTGAGACTAATTGACAGAAATAAACAGGTCTTTAATCGATCATTCACCAATTAAGTCAGCTTGAAGCTAACAGTTTCAGTGCAGACATTGAACCCTCTGCCACAAAAAAAAAAAAAAGAAAAGAAAAGAAATAAAAGCGCATTAGAGGAAAAGAGGAGAATTCAAAATAGAATATGTATTACTTCTAAAGATCTGATATTTTTTTAGCAGACATGTGTGCATATATATATATATATATATATATATATATATATATATATATAAAACTTATTTATGACAAATATTTATTCAGGCATGATTATGTATACGTATACGTAGAGATATCGTTAGATTTGCAGACACATTTATTTTCGCAACAAATATTTATTATTGAACATAGTCTCTTTTCTTTTCTAATGCACTTATTTCAGAGGTGAATATTTATCAAATAAATCGAATTTATATGGAGGAATTTTCACTGAAAAACCTCAGCCAAGAGACATGTAGATTTATCTAGCTCATATATATATATATATATATATATATATATATGGCTGTACGAATAAAACCCCGATTCTATATATTTCTCTCTCTCGCTGTAATAATAGGTAATAGTAATATTAATAATAGATAAAAGTAATGTTAATGATAGGTAATAGTCATATTAATAATATTATAACACTAGTAATAGTAATATTAACAATATTAATACTAATGTTAACCGGATAACGCCCAGTTAAAGCTATACTAGATGATTGCATTGCGCATGAAACTTCAGTCGCTATGTCTGTCTGTCTGTCTCTCTCTCTCTCTCTCTCTCTATATATATATATATATATATATATATATATATATATACATGAAAGTGCATGTGTATGAGTGTGAACACTTGCATGTACATTTATTTATTTTTTATCATATATATATATATATATATATATATATATATATATGATATATATAAAAGACAAATTGGAAAACATTTATTTTGATATGTTTTGTCGATCATTAGGATGGCGCCGATTGATCGGAGAAACATGTCAAAATACTTACACACATACATGTACACTTATATATATATATATATATATATATATATATATATATATATATATATGGGCTGTACGTTTGTGTATGCGCAGCTTGCTGCTCCACTGATTGCAAATAGTGAACAGTGCTCACAAATATAATTTAGTAAGCCTTTCTGTCAATACCGAGTAGTAACTTCAGCAAGCCTGCAAACAAAAGGAATGCTATAATTTCGATGGACACTAATGAAAATATATGCATGATTTCTCGAATAATCAGCGAACTAAAGCGTCTAATATATATATATATATATATATATATATATATATATGTATATATATATATATATATATATATATGGGATGCAGACTGTAGTAATTCTGTGAGAATATAATTAAGATATACGACCATATCACGTTGAAACATTGGTTCCTGAAGGATCATCTCAGGTTTTATTTTTTTAAAACAGAAAGACGCCAGCTCGGATTCCAGCCACGCTGAACTCACGAGGCTCTAAATAAACGCTCCTGCTATTTAAACACGACAAAAACTACATCTTCGACAAACTAACATGAAAAGAAATCAACAACATTTAACTTGAAAATGGCTAAAAAGTGGTTGAAAATGCTTTGGAAAATAGACACTACGAACAGTTTTTAGACTCCCTTACTCTCATCAAATGCAAAAATGTAAGAAAATTAAAAACAACTTGATAAAATATTAATCAAATTTTTCTTGTCTGACATATTCAACAAAACTGAAAGACTTACGCACACACAAACAGAAGCACACACACACACACACACACACACACACATATGCTTGAATGGGATCTATTGTCATCCTTATTCAACGAAATGTGTCTGTATATATATATATATATATATATATATATATATATATATATATATATATATAGCTCTGGATTTACATTGAGCTCTCAGGATTTCATCCTCCTCATACGGATTACCAAGGTTTTCATAACTAGAGCAAAATATTATTATAATATTTTTATTTATAATAGAGTACAATAAAAAATTGCACCGCTACACAAAAACTTCCATGTTTCAGAACTATAATGTTTACTCTTCGGGCGATGGTAGATCACATATGATTAAAATGATTTATTTGTTAAATTTGAAAACAAATCATTACCGCTTTTGAAAATTAAAATGTCTGCTGAAGCCAAAGGTCAGAATTTAAAAAAATAAATTTGTGGGCATGTCTTTATTAACCACTAACTTAACATATATATGGTATGATTTATCTTCTCATCAAGAGTTCTCATTATATTAAAAGAGAATTATCACTTATTACGTATTTAATTTTATACTTTAAAATAATGTCACACAATATATATTTTACTCCTATGGGGCAGAAACCCTCCAGTTTTAGATATTTGCTGACCACGTGTCATAACACAAGTAGCTTTGTGCGTGTATTCCTATATATGAACAGCATTCCTTGCCGTATTCGACGCACTTTTGTATATAAGAGGAGTATCCAATCTTGTTTAACGTAAGAGCCACATAAGATAATGTTCAGATGTTTGCGAGAAGCAAGACATGAAAAATTTTTTACATACGTTTTTGCTACATACAAATTAACATTAAAGTTACGTTTTAATCCAATGGGATCCCAATTCATACCCAGTAAATAATAATACCTTGATTTTTTATTTACCTTTATATTAATTGTGATAAAAAAGGAGCCCAGTTAACATATTTTCACGAGACGCATATTAATAGTCAAAGTGCTGCATCTATCTTGCCAGCTAGATGTATATATACATATATAAACAGATGGTATATGTGTGATACACTGGTATATGTGTGATACTATTTGTTGTTACCGCGTTAAAATAAAACCTAAGAAAGTTTTCTTATCAATAGAAAATGTTATGTGCTGAGGGATATTGAAATGAGAAGCGTTAATACCAAAAACCTGTGGGAAGAATTGAGGATTTAATTCACATATAAACGACTTGAATTGTATGTCGAGTAGTTTGAACAATGGAAAAGTGAACCAGACCTAGGGTGCAATGTTGATTGACACACAGCTGCAAGTGCAAGCTGTAAAGCGAAAATTTCATTTTTCGTAGACAACGAATTTGGAGTTGATTTCCCTGGTCGAAAGTTGAGTTGAATTACCAGGAAGTGGGCTGGATAAGCCACACACGCTCACTGAGGAGATTTAATGAGATGTAATAATATGAGAGAGTGGAAAAAGGGACCCCCCCCAAATTATCGAATTCTGTTATTTAGCCAGTTTGGGTGAATGTCAATAGATATGAGTGCGCGCAGTGAATACAGCAGAAGAGAGGCAGAAGAGACGGAGACGAGACCAGAAACAGGCAAGAGGCCCACGTGATTATCTGCCGACGAAAACCTCCGACTTCAGCCTTGTGCCAAACTTTACTAACAACAGCAAACCAGATGTTAGTAAGCCAACAACGATAATATCTCTTCCAATGAAGGTTGGGCTGATAGTTAATTGCATGCGAACTCTGATATAAACCAATTATTGTACGGAGGATTGATATAAAAAAAAAAAAAAACAGTATTATTTTAATTTATTCATTTGTTTGTTCAATTTATTCGACTGTTATTTTTTTCCTGTATACCATCGCCCTGCTTGGACCCGCCTAACGCGAAGATACCTGTGACGATTCGATCATGGCTGCCTTATGATCAACCTTAAATCACAACGTGGGATAAGTTTGCTCTGGATCGAAGCGATCTTCATCGATCAGTCGCGGTGTTGGAAGTCTTAGATGACCGGGAGGGTGCTGCACGTTTACATATGAAGTCCCCTATTTTCAGAAACAATTTTGGTAAGAAATCACGTCCTGGGTTACCCAGGCGATAAATACACTATCTGATCGCCTTTGTTAAACCAGACCCAGCAACTTTTTGCATTTATGAATTCGATACACGAGGTCTGTTGAGAAGACATCCAGATATTAAATATAAATTGAACGACATATCCAACATCGGGCAATGGCGTCGTTGTTCACTTCAAAGTACCCTCTTTCTTGGATCCTATACATTTGGTACTTTCTATGGTTTCTAAATAGACCGTAAAACTCTCTTTCGGGATCAACATCAGCTACTTAGATACATCGTCCTTAATTTCGTTCCATTAATCTCTATTCGCATAGTCAAATTTATTAACTAAATGTTCGCCCAAAACCAGGCCCAATAGCCACTCAAGATAGAGGGATTACTGAATGAGACTGTTGAATGTACTTAACAGGAGGAAGTAAATGCCGACTATGAGGATATGTAGGATAGATAACGGTTGATCCTAAACGTCAAGAGGTTAAGAATGTAATGATCAGGGAATAATCCTGTCGGGAGTCTGTTCCACAAAGTAGCTGTTGTCGGGAAGAATCTCAGTGGAACTGCCTTCTTGCCAGTAGAACACGTAAGGAATGAGGGTGATTCGATGTGTATGTGGCATAAAGAGTCTCAGTTCTAAAGGTCTGAACTGGTGGAACAAAGGAATGTAGCTCATTTGTACGGAAATAGCTATAGAATAGCAACAGGCTTGCGACGTTTCGGCTACGGGGAAAGGTGTTGTAGTCTGGAAAATAATTCATCATCCACAAGACCCCGAGAACGCTTTTGAACTCTGTCAAGGTTGAAAAGAGAAGATTGGGCTCAATTCGACAGCTGCAGAACGCACACCATATTGTCTATTTGCCGACCGAGAACTCTCATGAGAAGCTATCTGTTTATGTATCCACTTTGACTGATTGGCACGTT